TAAAAAGGCAACCCTCGTTGTAATCTATAAAATGATGCATCAATTAACACCGAAATATCTAAGTGAGTTACTAGTTACGCGGCAACACTTACATTCTCGACATTTAAGATCCGATGAAAATTTCAACATAAATTTTTCAAATAAAACTTTCTTAATGGGATCGTTGCTAATTAATGGAATACATCTTTTTAATAATCTGCCAAAAGAAATAAAAGACTCTAGCAATTTGAATTTGTTTAACAAAAAATTATGTAAATATCTTAGAGAATCAAATTAAACAATTGTGTATATTATGTAAGATAACAAAAAAAATATGTAAATAAAAAAAATAAATAATTGTATATAATAGCAATGGCTAAATAAACGGATTCATTCATTCATTCAGTTCTAGTTATTGGGATTACCAAATATTTAAATTTTACACTTTAGAATTCTTGTTTTCCTGTTTTAATACTTTTTGAGGCTGCTTTATTATTTAATTTTATAATTCTTCTTCATTCTTGATTAGCTCTAGTTTTATAACAATTGTTCCTTATTCTACAATTTCGCAGATGTTTTCCGTAATTTTTCTTGTTTTGGAATATTGCTACTATGTCATCTGCATATGCAATGAGCTGTCTTCGCCCTGTTCGCAGCTTCCCTTTATTAATTTTCCTTGTCACATATTCTAGTGAGAGGCTGATAACAAACCCTTGGTAATAACGAAATTATAAAAAAAAATATCAACAAACAATGTTCGATAAATACATTACAAAACGAAACAATGTATTCATCTTTGGATTTACAGGAAGCCAACGAGTATTTGCGCTGTATAGATATAGGTATATAGGTATCGCCCCAGTGAAATTCAAATTGATATTCACGCGTTGTATCAACATCTCATGATTACCTCCGGGAACAAATACACAGGCTCTTTCAATTATTCATGCGAAACATGGAGCTATACACGAACAATATTGAACTTTTGCGAAGCCGTTCTATTTGAAACGGGAACTTGTTCTTCTCCTTTCGTTCAGACGGGATTATTTCCAAACTTGGAATATGAGTCCGATTATCGATATGCATACCTGACGCAGCAGATTTGATGATACTTTTTTTGATGGTAGATGCGCTTTGGATGTGAGGGGAAAATGAAAATCGACGGCGTTCTGGGGAACGTGATTATACAGTTATTGATGTAACTAGTGTACAATTTTTGCGTAAAGCATGAAGTTTGTAGCTCGAGAAAATGTCGATATATTTTAATAATAATAGAATAAGAAGGTTATCCATATCTCAAATATGATATATTCGTAAATAATAATAATAATAATAATAATATCGCTTTTATTGACATTTAACCCTAGAGTGATATCGTACGTAAAATTTACGTGTGCCTTGTAGCGAAAGGGCCCTCTCCACTAATTCTTTTGAATCGCGATCTTGAGCTTTCAGCAGTACCCCAGGAAACATCTACTTGTGAAGTTTTCTAGGTGTCAGAGTTGCAACTATTTAGCAAAAGAAGATGTGGCTTGATTTTGAAAAGTATATACGTAAGAAATACGCATCGATACCAATAAGCAGTTATTTGTTGTACGTTTATCTGACGTGTCGCCAAGCTTAAAATTTTAGGCCTCGCTTATTTCTTAACGACTGTCGCTGCAAATGGCCCTATGTGTCTTTTACAATATGATAAACATGGCTCGCATCAATTCATACATAATTTAGTCACACAATGTTGAAGAATTAGGTGGTAAAATTTTAACACGTTTTGAGTACTCCACAAAAGTCTTATTAAATCATGGCAATCACAACATCAACAAATAGGATACCTAAGTACAGTAAGTGCAATAGACATTAATGAAACCTTTTTACTCAGTCCAAATATCGAAGGGGGGGGGGGGGATCAAAAAGGGACCTTTGGCACCTTTGTCCTACATTAAAGGAAAGAATGGCAACTACGTACTGCGTAAAATGTATCAAAACAGTATGTATGTAACAAATAAAAATATGCAAGGGTTTCAAAAAAATCAAATAGAAAAATGTTCTCTTTATTTTTAAATTCAGTTACTATAATTTTTTCATTTTAAAATATTGTTTTGTTATTAAAATATGTTAAAAACACTGTTTTATGTTCCGATTAAAAAAACTGAAAAAACAGGTAATTTTATAAAGTGTACGAGTAAAAATTTTCGAATGCGTAAATTTTACGTGTCGATACCAATAAGCGGTAGAAATTAAACGATACCGTTCTAGGGTTAAATACATAAGAACAAAATATACATTTTAGTAGTAGGTTATATACAGAATTATGTCAAAAGGCAGAATTAAATTCCAATCTTCCACTCAACCAGATTTAAATTAAAATTAAATTATTAACTTACTTTTTATATGTAGAACTCTTAGAACTAAATAATGAAAAGTGAATAAAAAAAAAATTACAAAAAAAATAACATAAGAAATAGTGAAGAGGGGTGAATTTCAATTTAAAATTTTAAGATGCCATTAATCATAATTTGTTTTATCTTGGCTTTGAACGTTGATTCAAACAGAATTTTTAAATTATTTGGTACTAAATTATAGTATTTTCCGACATTATATGAAAATGAACCTTGAAAGCTAGATGTTTTATGACGTGGTATTAATATATAATTTCGATGCCTGATATTTATGTTATGTATGTCGGATCCATAGGTGATTTTGGTGGGGTGGGGTTTTGGATTTTAATAGTTTGTGTATAAATGTACATAAATGAAAGTTGCTGGTTTGCTTTACATTTAACCAGTTTAGCTCTTTAAATTTGTTTGAAATGTGATCAAATTTACGGAGGCCAAAGATTAGCCTTGTACAATGGTTCTGTATTTTCTGTAGTCGGTTATTTTCCATTATACTCAAGCAAGGAGCATATACAATATCAGCATAATTGAGATGTGAAAGTACCAGAGTTTGACATAGCATCTTTCGTGTTTGAAGTGGTAGAATTTCTTTATTTGCATAAATTAACCTGATGTTGCTAAACGCTTTTTTTATGATGTTATTTACATGAGTGCTAAACTTTAATGAGCTATCAATAAATAGACCTAGGTTCTTTGCTACGTCCACTACTGGTACTTCTTCATCTTTAATCTCAATCTTTATGTTGGGGAGAACTCTAAATCGTGTTGCAGTGCGTCCAAAGACCATCACTTTACTTTTAGTTGGATTTACGCTAATGCAGTACTGCTCTGAGATATGTATTAGATTAGATAATTCACTATTTATCGTATAAAGTGATGGCACCAATTCTGAAGGATAAAATGAATGAAAATTTGGGTGTCATCTGCATAAAAGTGTGAATTACAAACATTTATCATGTCTTTAAACTGCGAAGTATAGATAATGAAAAGAAGTGGCCCTAGTATGGAGCCTTGCGGTACTCCAGATGTAGTATTTACTCCATTTGATAACTTGTTTTTATACTTGACCCGTTGGACTCTTAGGTTTAGGTAACTAGAAAACAATTGGATTGATTTATCATTAAGCCCAAGATAATGGAGCATAGCTAAGAGTAGTTGATGATTAATTCTGTCGAACGCTTTTGAGTAATCTAATAACACTAGTACTGTAACTTTATTTTTATCAGTCGCTGCAAGAATATCATCAATTACTTTCAGCAGAGCTGTCGTGCAACTAAAGCCTGACCTAAATCCAGATTGTTGTTGTGGTAGCAAGCTGTTACTCTCCACGTGATGTTTAAGCTGTGCAAAAGTACATTTTTCAAACGCCTTGGATAATACACATAAAATACTTATGGATCTAAGTTCACTTATATCTGATGGGTTTTTTATTTTTGGTACTGGGATAATAAGACCCGTTTTCCAAGTGGTTGGAAACACACCATTTTCAAAGCATGCGTTAAATATGTGTGTTATTACAGAGACTATTTTTTAAAGCATAATTTTCTTTATGTATACGGATATTTACCCGCAATTGCTCCAATACACCTTCATCAATAGAAATTACCTCACATTTATATGTTTGGCATACCTAAATCCCCACTCCACACCGGCCCCGTTAATTCTGTCTACACGAAAAAAGTTGTATCCTTTTATAGATATAAAAAATTCAAAAGGAAAGACTTGTATTTCGTGCAAAACTTTTTAATTAATAAATACAAAGCGCTTTCGGTTTATTAGCCATCATCAGTGCTTATTGTCCACTAAGTATCCAACAAGTTCCTGGTCATCCTCACTCCCAAAATTAGATATTTCGGGATATTTACAACTTATTAGTATTATTAATATTTTCAAATTTAAATTTCTTTATCTATTCATTTTTATTTTTATTCAAGTTGTTTAACCGTTTCCACATGACAGTGGTGACAAGTTTTGAATCTAAACTACGTGCACACAGCTGTCAACCTTTTTTTGGTTATTTCAATTTAATAGATATAACTTCGTCAGATATATTAACATGAAGACGTGTTTCTGTTATAGCAATTGCATCTATATTACTATCTTGAAATTCATCCCTTATTTCTGTTATGTGATATGCTAAAGAATTAACATTTAAATGAGCAAAAATAAAACTATCCATTCAATGTAAACTGTAAAAAATAAAAAAAAAATAAAATGACGAATATAAAACAACAAAATAATTATTCAATTATAGCATATATTAAGATTTTCTTGAATATGTAGTTGAAAACAATTTTTAGTGAATAAGGAAAATAAATTTTAAATACAAAAATAAATATACGTATCCTCTTTATTTACTAACAAAATTACTTTTTAATGAGTTCAAAATTTGACCCCGAGTAATCACACGGTTTACCGATGTTTGATCCGATGCTTTTTTGTCTTTTTTGGGTTATTTGTCTAGGGTACCTTCCGAAGTAGACGTCAGTGACGGCAGATGTCTAGTTGGTGAAGATTCCACTACTTCTGCCACGGTGTCCTTATTTGTGAATATCGTTTCAATGTTGTTAATGTTTTCTAATTCTGCTAGTGTGAACGTTTCTCCATTGATGACGGCCTTATTTCTTACAATTTTTGCCTCATAATTCTGATTTCTGGCAGCCTTAACGTGATCGAAGAGTTTTTTCTTTTCTTTGCGCTCCTCGTGAGATCGTCCGAGAAATATATACCAGTACCTTGTAACTGCCTGGTGTTCTGAAGTATTTCACGTTTCTTGTGGAATGTTACCAGTTTCAAAATAATTATTTTAGATTCAGTATTTTTATTTATAGGGTAGCAGTAATTTATGTCATTAATACCAATATTAATTTTTAGTTGATCTTTTATGAATTTGGTAAGAGCTTCTGTCAAGCTTCCGTTTTTATGCTCAAATCCAAATATACAGATATTATTTCTTCGCAGTTTTTTCTCACTGGTTTTTAGTTGAGTATTTTCTTGTTCTATATTAGCTATTTTGGTTTTAATCACATTAACTTCATTTGTAACGTCTGCTCTGAATTTCGTCCATTCTTTTTGTATATCACGCAAAATAGTAAAAAGATCGCCGTTAGTAATCGTATTGTCGTCGTCGTTTCCCATAATCGAACAGTGTAGTTCCCTTCGTCAACACAAATGATACTGATCGTAAATCATATCAATAGCCGCAAAATTTTGGCATGGACACAAAGATTATTTTTTGTTATTGAAAACAGGAAAAGCGACTAGTTTCGGTCAGTGACCATCATCAGGTCTGTAAGAAAGTATGCTAATGAGACTTAAATTGATTATAAGTGAAAAAGTATTTTAACAATTAATGGCTTAATAATATATAAGAACATGAAATTTACAAATTTACATGTGATAAAACTATCAGATTACTAGCTTAGTACTTAAAGAGCTGACGGAGACTACAACAATGTTTATGGTATTTTAATAATAAATGACAATGTAGAAAGAAGGGTAAGAAGATTATTTGACAAATGTTGAGTAGTTTAAATTATTTGTGATAAAATACAATCTAATTTTAACAAAATAAGTGTAGCAATAAAGCTATCACAAATAAGAAATTTAGGTATTAACTAATGTTAGTTATTAATTATTACTATATTAATCCATAGGAAAGTGAATCTTCCTAGTGTAAGAGTGACTAAGAAAGTAAATACGAGGAAAACAATAATTAAACAGTGTGGTACTTAAAAAGACGGGACAAAATTAAACTAATAAAGAAACATCCGGCTGAGCCGACTATTGAACTCTTGAGATGGCCTCAATGTGGTTTTATAAATTTTAGATCCAAATCCAGCGAATATACGTTCTGCCCACCGTGCTAGATGGAGATGCTTCGTAATACAAAAAACGAACTAACAGTAGGAAAGGTCCAAAGAATGGGACTCGTTGATAATGTAAACGTATCATCAACCCCTGGAGTATAGACACAGCTTATACAATACAGCTCCACAACTCTGTATCGGCGCCTTTGATTTGGCGGTCGAGAACCAAGCAAGACGGAATGGTGCCATCTCTGTTAGATTCGACGAAAAAGTCGGGCCCCGATTAAAAAATATTTTTATTATTGAAATAATTGAAGACCTTGGCGTAATAAGGTTGGTTACATGCCACATTAAGTAAGTTTTGAGAAATTAAGTTTTAATTCTGTCCAATATAAATAAAAAAATTATTTAAACATAAATATTATGAAAAATAGCACAACTTTCGGATTAGAGGTAAAATAATTTGAACATGGCTAGTAATATCCTTGTTAATAGATGTTTTGAGCTAAAACAGTCACTTGCATCCTTTTGCACTAAGGGCTTCAATTATTAACGACTTTTGTCACGCCCGTGGATGCAAATCAAGTGGTACTCATTGCGCAAAGGGTTTATACCTAGATAAATGAATGCTTCACGTGAGGTCTGAGAACTCGATGGTATTCTGGGTTATTATAAAGAATCGGTCACTTGTGCTTTTATTTTAACAATATTGGTTTTTTTTAGATTCATTGGAATAAAGATTTGTAGAAGTAATATTTTGACAGTTTTTATTAATATAATACAGAGTGTTTCATAATATATGCGCAGGACTTTAGGACGTGATAGCTCGTCCAAAAATATGAAAAAACGTTTCTATTAACTTACCCTCTAAAATGCACCGTTTTCGAGATACAGGGTGTTGATATTGAAAAAAAAAATTCTACGTTACTGGAAACAGTACGGTTTTGAGACGCTGATTTGAACCGCTAATGTTTTCTACACAAAAAAGGTACTCTTGGTCATACGCTCTAAAGTCGACCGTTTTCGAGAAAAATCAAATTTTAATGTTGAAATACATACATACATGGTCAATTTTTGGAAATAAAACTTTTTTTCTTTTTTCTCGAAAACGGTCGACTTTAGAGCGTATGACCAAGAGTACCTTTTTTGTGTAGAAAACATTGGCGGTTCAAATGGACGTGTCAAAATCGTACTTTTTCTATTGGAGTAGAATTTTTTTTTTAATTTCAACACCCTGTATCTCGAAAATGGTGCATTTTAGAGGGTAAGTTAATAGAAACGTTTTTTCATATTTTTAGACGAGCTATCACGTCCTGAAGTCCTGCGCACATATTATAAAACACCCTGTATATTCAATTTTTATCTGTCCGTACCGAAGTAGGGAATTTTGAAACTTGATAGTAATATGAAATTTGAATTACAGTATTACGCGAAATTACATAACTAATACCTATTTTAGATAGGTACTAAATTTGTACTTGGAGAAAGTAATATCGATTTATACAAGAAAACTTAAAAAGTAAATTAATTTAGTTCCTATTTACTGATGTAAACATTAAAACAAGAATACAAATAAATAGCAGTTTTGTGCAACAAGAGTGAATATAGATAATCCACTTGAGTTGTACAAAATATTTTTTCTACGACCCACTGACGAAAATCTACAAATTTAAAAAATTATTTTAGGTTATTTAGACAAAAAAACTAATTTTAAAATAATTTATCAAAACTTTTAGGATTTTAGTTTTAAAACTCTACTTTTAGTGTTTTCATTACCTAAAATGGATATGAAATATATTCATTTAGTTGAAAACGATAGCATACTTTTTCGTTTTTTAGTCTATGCGTAGATTAGCTAATATTTATGTGGACGTAGAAAAATTATTTTGAACAGGGTCAAATTTACCACTTAAGATTTATTTAACACGGATATCAATTCTTTGAAGGTTTAAATGCACAGTGTTTGCAAATCATTTTTTGGTGAGTAGATGCACCTTACACGGTCAGTTTAAAAGACATGTTTCAAAACACTCTGTATAAAATAAACCAGTTCTATCACCACTATTCGTAAGCCTAATACCTTATAAGTCTGTATATTAAACGATTTTGAAATCAATGTAAACCTACCTAAATTATGATAATTTAATTTGGGGTCTGCATCATTCTCTAATTTCAAAAAAAAAATTAATTAATTGGCAACTCTGTAATATTTTTTAATACATTCTAGGGTTAAATACAGTATTATCAAACCATCCTAAAAATAAAATAAAATAAAGGGTGTTCTATTTAAAAAAACATACATTTTGATTTGTTAGGCAAAAACACGACACCCTGTATATCCAAAAATATTTTTAAAATATGTATTTTTCAAATCCATATAACTCATATTTAAAACTTTTTTGCGTGTCTACAACACAAATTGAAATATTGAACAATTACACACTAATGGGACACCCTGTATAAATTATATTATTAACAATGAACATTTCTTTAATGTGGTACTTTCCGGTTTGGGACCTTGGGAAAACGAAAGAATATTTTCTTGTAGGTATAACCCTTATTATAACAGCTTTTGACAGCACAAACAGAATATCTTTTTTTTACTCATTCTACTCACAGCTAAAGAGTCATCAAAATAATGGCAGTATACCTTTAACTTAACACAACAGAGAGCTCAAACAAAATCAACGAAATTATACGCACGGCTCAATACCTTACCTAAGTACGCTTCTGAACTCCAAAGCCGTCTTTTCCGTCTGAAGGCGGAGCTGAAGCGATGCGCGACGGAATCGACGCAAACCGTTGCCGCCAAGAGAGTGTTTTAGCTGTATTGTGTAAGCTGTGGTAAAGAGTCAGCAGGAGAGCGGCGTCCTGTTAAAACTGGCACGAGGATAGGCAGAGGTGACCAGCAATTTAAGAGACCTCCAGAACCTGGAATCATCGTCCTGATGGTATAAGTCCATATTACATAACATAAATAATCTATTAAATTTACAGACTTACATGCTTTAATAAAATGGTTTTCGTCTTTTTATTCTTTATGCACTGTCTTCCACATGCCGGGCATTGTTTTCTACCGTGTGATATAGCGCACTTATGACATATAAATTTTGGCCCACTGTCGTTTTTATTAAAGCTTGTAAACGCGCGCACAATTTCACTTCTCTCTGGCTGACCAAAGTTCCTGTTTTTAGAAAAAGAGGGTCTAGAAAAGGATGGATTATATCCACGAACATTTTTAAAATTTGAATGTTGTTTCCTGCGTGTAGCGTGTTTTTTATATGGTCAAGTTCTTTATCCACTGAAGCATGATTTGAACTAGACATTTTTTTTATTTGCTCCTTGATTTTTTCAGAAGTTATACAGATATCAATTGCTTTGTTTAAATTAACTTTTTTAGTTGTAATTAATTTATTTTGTAATTCAGGATCTGATTTCAGACAAAAAATTAACTTACTTGCCATTTAACTGTCTGCCAGGTCACCAAATTCACAAGAAGTACTTAAATCTCTGAGGTCTTTTATATAATTGTCAATCATTTCATTTTCTACGTTTTTTTTTTCCGGCTTAAGGAAGTCATCAATTTTTTTTATTATCACATCATAATAAATGTTCATTTCATCTTATGTGTATTGGGCTCTCTCACCAACACTAGCTAGAATCAAGGATAATTTGTATTCCGTATCTTCTTTCTCAGATTTAGTTACTTTCATATATAGCATACATTTTTGTTTGAAAAATTTCCAATTATCCCCAAGAGAATTAGTCCCAAAACTATTGCTAATAGATTAAGTATACATTTATATTTTAGACATTAATATAAAATAATTTAATTCGGGTATATTTAGTAATTTGTGATACAAAGTTGCAAAAGTGTGTTTGTTAATATTTAAGTTTTATTTGTTTCTTCCATATATGTACAAAGATGATTTACGAACTCTTCTTCTTTTACATGTGAAGGTTTATACAATGATGTGATTAATATTGTATTTAAATTATTTATATTTATTGTGGTTTGTGTGGCTTTACAAGGTCCTATTTGGATTATTTCGGATGCATATATTAAAGTTTTTTTATTATAAATATTATTACTCCATTGTGGCTATTTATGTCTCCCTCGTTATAAACTATATCATAATCAATCAATTTAAATATATTGAAACGGGAATATGAAATGATTCTGTGAGAACGATACAACAGTCAAACCTGAAACTGAGTTGCGATAGAAATATTACTGCACTCATTTAAACAGCCTCTACGAATCATCAAAAATATCAATCTTTCTTTAAAAGGCAATTATTTTTCGTTAACAAACATCCATTTTTCATG